GGGGACAACGTAAGGACAGCCACTCACCTCTCAGGACAGCTAAGCCTCTGGGTGAGAATGGTCCATTCCGGTGCCGCTGCTGAAAGTTGATGTGTCACTGTCATTTAAATAACGAGCCGGGAGTGTTTCATCTCCGAAGTTTTCACGGGTGCAAAGGCACCCCCCACCCGCCTAGACTCCCACAGCCGCAGGCCCCCCAGACCTGCCTGTCCCTGCCAGGGAAGGAGGCGCCACGGGGAGGGGCGGGGGGGACCCTCGGTCCTGCACACAGGAGCCCTCGGTGGAGGGTGCCCGGCCGCACCCCGCTTAGACCACGGCACTGGGCCACGCCGCAGAGCCACACGCGGCCCATCCCCAGGCCACACGGCCCACAGGATGCAGGCAGAGGCCGCTGCAGCCAGGCGCAGAGGTGGACGCTGGGCGATTCGCCCCCAGTGCGTCGCATCTCAGCGATGAGGCTGCTGCCCTGCCCACCTCTGATGACATGGCGAGAAATTGCTTTTAAAAGTCCCAAGGATGCAAATTAACAATGACAGGTACGGCTTCAGCACAGCCCTGCTCTTCGAAAGTGCCGAGAACTGAGCTTTTCAACAGCTGAAAGTGTCCCGAAGGCTGCGTGGCCCGGAGTGGGGCAGGATGAGGACGCAGGTGGGTCCCCGCAGCCACCAGGGGGCACAGCCCTCCAAGCTGCGAGCTCTCTGTGGCTCGGCGCTGTGAGAGTCTGGGCCCAAGCCCGCCAGCCCTGAGGGACAAGGACACTGCCCTCCTGCCAGAGGAGCTGCCCCAGGGGACTGCGGAGAGAGGGGAGTGGAGGGCAGAGGTCCCCCAGGCCCCGGGGGGGGCACATGGCTGTCCCGCAGCAGGCGGGGAGGACGTGGCGGTCTGGTGGGTGCACAGCAAACAGTGCTGTCCTGGGACTTCCAGGAGAACCAGACAGGCGGGTCGGGAGAGGGGCGGGGGCGTGCAGTGGTCACGTCCCTGGGGCAGCTCCCTGAAAATGCGACACCCACTGGCTCAGCAGACGGCGAGGGGTGCAGGCCCCAGAAGGGAGGGACGAGCAGAGGAAGGAGAAGCCTTCCAGCTGGGAAGAGCAGGGCCCTGTCACAAGGCGCTGGGGACTATCAGCCAGCGGCTCTACAGGGCCTGGTTCTGGAAGGGCCCAGATGGACATCAGCGGGGAGGAGTCCAGTGGGCACGGGGCACCAGGGGCCGCTATGTCTTAGGGTGGCCCTTTGAGCTGAGCTGGGGGTGGGGTCTGGGCCGATGCCCTGAAGGCACATCGAAGATGAGGGTCCGGGAGTCATGGCCGTGGGCACTATCAGGAGGGAACTGGCCAGGGGGCTTCTCTCGCCCCAGCTCCCCACCAGCCGAGACGCGGGGAGCCCGCCCCCGCCACCCCGGGGGACACTAAGGACACTGCTTGAGCCCAGGGATCTGAAAAGTCACAGGGGCGCCCCGTGGGCATGCTGTGTGTGCTGGAGCCTGTGTACACGCCAGCGGGTGGTGGCAGGGGCATGACTTCGGTCTCAACAGAGCTGTGGAAGCACGCACTCACAACCTTTGCCCAGTAACCCAGACCCACCGGAGCACACGGGGCATGTCTGCCTGTGGATTTGCGCCTGCCACGCTTGGGGGACAGGTGGGCATGAGGACAAACCAGCGAGCTCGGGGCCGGCCCGTGAGGCTCCTCCAGCCTGTGCAGCGGCGGAGCAAGGGACTGCTGCCTCCACTCCCCTCCCAGGACCCGGCTCGTTCTCCCCAGACCCCCTGACGTCTGCCTGTGACCGGGCCCAGGGCTCGGCCAGCAGGGAGACACACGGCCTCCCCGGCGGCGTCCCGTGTCTCGGGCGGCGTCCCGTGTCTCGGGCGCCGAGTCAGAGCTTCCCTCGGGGGCTCACCTGTCCTCAGTCAGGGGCTGCGTGGGATCTAAAGGTATTTGAAAGGCTTCGATCTCTAGACCATACTTCACATAACACTCAAAAATATTGTGTCACAAACCACAGAAGGGACAAGCCATTACCTTCTAAACTGGGTGTTGAAGTCCATATGGATGGTGAGGGGGCGAGGAGAGGCGGGCAGAGGCAGGCTGCGCGGGGTGCCACACTTGCTGTACGGAGCAGCCCCTGGCTGGGCCCCCAGAGGACGGGGGACGGCTCTCAAGCCGATGGCCAGCACCGAGGTCTGCCGGCGTCAGTAGCCAGCTGCGGTTCAGCCTTCAGTTCTGTGCTGCCGGCCTTGCGCCTGGGGACCCCCACAGCGCTCCGGGCCTCTGCCACATGGAGTGATGGTGGCACCTGGCCCAAGCAGGGCCTGGGCTCGGCCGGACATGAGCTCCGTCAAGGGGTGTCCTCACAGGGCGGGAGGTGGGGACAGGGCCCAGGTGGCTGCACTGGGGAGAAGATCCTGCTCCAGCAAGACGGGTGGGGACAGAGAGGGCTGGGGACCCGGCCAGCCAGGGGAGCCCAGCAGGGGCAGAGCTGGGCAGGTGAGTGGCCTCCCGGCGCCAGCCCCGTAGCCTACAGCCAGGGCCAGGAACCGGCACCCTCTGAGGCTGGGCATGTGGGAGGGCAACAGCCTGCGGGGAAATGCTGAGTTTGCTCTTGAAAGGTGGCAGAGACAGGCTCAGCACAGCGGTACCTCCAGGGCAGAGGCAGCTCAGGGAGAGCAAAGAGGTGTCCTCAGGAGCAAGCTGGGGTCCCGGGCAGAGGTGGGAAAAGAAGGTTTTTCCCAGGGATAACAGGGAGGAGGGCAAGGGTGGGGGGAGGGGTGCAGGGAGGAAGCAGAGCGGGTGAGGGGCCGGGCACTGCAAGGCCCAGGGCCCACTGGGCAGCTGGGGAGTGGGGGAGGGAGGTCGGCCCCTGAGCTGGAGCGGAGGGGGCCTGCTTGTGGCCAGGGGTCCACCGACACCGCCCCCAGCCAACCCGGCACGGCCTGTCCAACCCAGGACAAAGGGCGCAGGCGCAGGGCTCGTCCAACCTGCGGTCCAGGGCTGGACCCTCACCCAAGGCAGGAGCCTCCGCTGGCCTTGGGGAGCAGCTGAGCGCCCCGCCAGCCAGGAGAGCGGGGATCTGGTTCTGCCCAGCGCCCTCCCTCCTCCAGCGGCCCCTGCCTGGGCCCTGACCTGTCCAGCTGCCTGCACCCCACGACCTCCCCACCAGCCCAGGCTCTAAGGTCCCCTAGCGTTGGGGATACCTTGACCCAGGAGGCCTGGTGAGGGGT